GGCAGGAGAATTGCCTGAACCCGGGAGGCGGAGGTTGCGGTGAGCCGAGATCGCGCCATTGCACTCCAGCCTGGGTAACAAGAGCGAAACTCCGTCTCAAAAAAAAAAAATTATCACGAGGTCAAAAATTATTTATTTATATTTCTTGAAGTTAGTTGTAACTGATGTGTATCGGTATGTGTTTTTGTGTGTATTTTGTCATGATTATGCAACAGAGACTGAAAAGTGTGAAAGAGAGTTTTCAGGAACGACAAGCAACTATACCTACTTTCCAAGTTATTTTGAGGCCGTGGTGGCTCACACCTATAATCTGAGTACTTTGGGAGGTGAAGCCGACGGATCACTTGAGCCCAGGAGTTCGAGACCAGCCTGGGCAATATAGCAAGGCTCCATCTCTATAAAAGAGTGAAAAAATAAGCTGGATGTGGTGGCATATTCCTATAGTCCCAGCTACTTGGGAGGCTGAAGTGGGAGGATCCCGTAAGCCCGGAGAGGTTGAGGTTGTGGTGAGCTGTGATCATACCACTGTACTTCAGCATGAGAGACAGAGAACCTATCTCAGAATAAATAAATAAAAATAAAAATAAATAAATAAATAAATAAAACCACCAGCACCACAAACAACAACAAAAAGTTATTTTACACTTGTTTTCAGCGCAGGACTCCTGAGGGTATCTTTGTATTTAACACTGCATAGGGTTGCCAGTGGGAAGTAATGTGTATGCTTGGCCTCATGAACTGAAATTCAACGTCCCTTTGTGTTAAAAACTCTCAATAAACTAGGTATTGAGGAAAATATCTCAAAATAATAAGATCCATTTATGATAAACCCATAGCTAATATCATACTGAATGGGCAAAAGCAGGAAGCATTCCCCTTGAAAACTGGTACAAAACAAGAGTGCCCTGTCTGACTACTCCTATTCAACATTGTATTGAAAGTATTGGCCAGGGCAATCAGGCAAGAGAAAGAAATAAAGGATATTCGAATAGGAAGAGAGGAAGTAAAACTGTTTGCAGAAAGCCCCATTGTCCCAGGGTGGAGGGCAGTGGCATGATCTTGGCTCACTGCAACCTCCACCTTCCGTGTTCAAGCGATTCTCCTGCTTCAGCCTCCCTAGTAGCTCAGATTACACGCACCTGCCACCATGCTCAGCTAATTTTTGTATTTTTAGTAGAGACAGTTTCACCATGTTGGCCAGTCGGGTCTCGAATTCCTGATCTCAGGCGATTGCTGTCTCAGCCTCCCAAAATGCTGGGATTACAGGCATGAGCTACTGTGCCCAGCATCAAATTCTTTCCCATTTTAAGATGTGGTTGTCTTTTTTTTTTTTTTTTTTTGAGATGGAGTCTCCCTCTGTTGCCCAGGCTGGAGTGCAGTGGTATAATTTCAGCTCACTGCAACCTCAGCCTCCTGGGTTCAAGTGATTCTCCTGCCTTAGCCTCCCAAGTAACTGGGATTACAGGCATGAGCCACTGCACCCGATGGGTTATTTGACTTTTTATTGTTGAGTTATAAGCATTCTTTTAAATATTCTGGATATTAGTTTCTTATTAGATACAATCTATGAATATATTCTCCCATTCTGTGAATTGTCTTCTCACTTTCTGGATACTATCCTTTACAGTACAAGTTTTAAATTTTGATGAAGTTCAATTGATCTCTGTTTTTTATGTTACTGCTTATGCTTTTGGTGTCATATCTAAGAAACCATTGTCTAAATCAATTGCCCATGAGGTGTTACACCTATGTTTTCTAAAGTTTTATGATTTTAGCTCTTTGACCCATTTTGTGTATTTTGTGTATGCAGGGTCCAACCTTATTCTTTTGCACGTAAATGTCCACTTGTCTCAGCATTACTTTTTGAAAATACTATTTTTTTCCCTATAGAATTATTTTATACTGATTACAAATCAACTAACTATAAAAGTTTATTTCTGGACTCTATCCTGTTGCTCTATCCTATGCTAGTACCACATTGTCTTGATTATTATAACTTTGTAGTAAGTTTTGAAATCCAGAAATGTAGTCCTCCAACTTTGCTCTTTTTTTTTTTTTTTTTTGTTTTTTTTTGTAGAGATGGGGTCTTGCTATGTTACATAGGCTGGTCTCAAACGCCTGGCCTCATGCAGTCTTCCCACCTCTGCCTCCCAAAGTGCTGAGGGGTGAGCCACTGCACCTGGCCTGTTCTTTTTCAAAATTGTTTGGGCTGTATTGGGTTTACATTTCCTAATTTTCATATAACTTTTAGGATTTGCTTGTCAAATTATGTTAAAAGGGCCTCTGGAGTTTTGATAGTGATCACACTGAATTTGAGGAGTTTGGTAGGACTAGTTTCCCAAGTCACAGACCCTGCTGATAAGACAGGATGTGGTAGAAAGGCAAACCCAAACCAGTCAAAGCCAAGATGGTGACAGAAGAGACCTCTGGGTACCCTGGCTGCTCATTCTATGCTAACTATAATCCATTAGCACACTAAAAGAAACTCGTACCAGCACCATGATAGTTTACAAATGCCATAGCAACTTTCAGAAGTTACCCTGTATGGTCGAAAAGGTCCAGACCTCCCCACCTCTTCTCTGGAAAACTCATTAATGATCCACCTCTTGTTTAGCATAATATAGTCAAGAAGCAATCATAAATATAGCCAGTCAGCAGACCATCAGGGCTACTCTCCTTATGGGGTAGCTATTTTATTCCTTTACTTTCTTAATAAACTTGCTTTCACTTTATTCAGTCAGCATGCTCTTGAATTCTTTCCTGAATCCACTAGGCCTCCTGGGCTAAGCCTCAACCTTGGGGGGTACTTTTGCCTGTAACAAACATATAAAGATAAGTTTGGCCGGGCATGGTGGCTCATACCTGTAATCCCAGCACTTTGGGAGGTGAGAAGGATGGATCACTTGAGCCAAGGACTTTGAGACCACTTTGGGCAACACAGCAAAACTCTGTCTCTACTAAAATTAAAAAAAATTAGCTGGGTATTAGCATGCACCTGTAATCCCGGCTACCTGGAAGGCTGAGGTGGGAGGATTGATTGAGCCTGGGAGATGGAGGTTTCAGAGGGCTGAGATCGTGCCACTGTACTCCAGGCTGGGCAACAGAGTGAGACCCTGTCTCAAAATAAAATAAATTTGAGGTGTATTGCCGTCTTAACTGAACTTGTTACTGGTGGAAGGTATCCAAGCTACTGGTGGCGAATCTGCAGCAACCTCAATTCTCACCTCTTCAGAAGAAAGAATTCGCCTGAAGGGCATCAGGCAGAAAGAAAGACCCAGGCAAGTTTCAGGGCAGGAGCGAAAGTTTATTAAGCTTTAGGCTGGGCATGGTGGCTCTCGCTTGTAATTCCAGCACTTTGGGAGGCCGAGGCTGGTGGATTAGTTGAGATCAGGAGCTTGACTAGCCTGGCCAACATGGTGAAACCCTGTCTCTACTAAAAATATAAAAATTATCCGGACATGGTGCGTGCCTGTAGTCCCAGCTACTTGGGAGACTGAGGTAGACGAATCACTTGAACCTGGAAGGCAGAGGTTGCAGTGACCTGAGAAAGAATGTTTATTAAGCTTTAGAACAGTAAGGAAAGGAAAGAAAAGGAAAGTATAACTTGGAAGAGGGCCAGGTGGGTGAGCTGAGAAACCAAGTGCAGGGCTTGCCCTCTTGACTTGGGGTTTTTTATATAAGCTGGCATACTTCCAGGATCTTTCGTTACTTCTCCCAACTCCTGAGATCTTTTTGGGAAGCTGATGATCAGTTTCAGGTGTTTTCTATTAGGAGCCTACCTGTCCCTGGCACCACCTGTGTGACCAATTTTTTTTTTT